TATTAATAAATTATACATTTAATGAACTTTATTGATATAATTATATGTGTACTTTTGTAAAAAAAATACCTTATAAATTGGAACAGGAGAGTTATAAATAATATTATTACATACATATATTTAATAGGATTTAAATTTGTTTGAAGTTGAGTTTGATGAATTTACATGAAGTTTTCCTTTTTTTTTTAGTATTTTCTCTCATTATGTTATTTTTTATAAAATATAGAATCTTTTCTCTCTTTCTTCAAAAGAAAAACTTCATATCAATTCATTAATCTCAACCTCAAAAAATTTAAATCTTATTTTATGATTCTAAAATAATTGCCTGCAAATTTTTGGGTTTAATTTTGAGAAATTAGATGGAAAAAAAACTTGCATAGGGTATTCATTTTCTAGATATATCCCTTTCTTTTTGTTAATTAGCTGTGCTAATGGATATACAAAGATTTACTATATGCAAGTTTTTCTTCATTGATTAGAACCCTTCAAATAATTAAATCAATTAATTGAGACACAACTTTAACTCTTGCCACCCACCAAGAAATTATTTGGAATTTAGGATCTTAATTGCTTCATAGCACTCATTTTCTTCCACATCAACAACTCTACTTTTGACTTACATGGTGCAAAAAGAAAACCATGCTTGACCATAATTAGTGTGCTTTCAGTTTAAGGCTTGAATCAGAGGAAAGTATGTGATCATGATGATGTATATGCCATTTGTTGCATTGAAAAACATTTATAGTTTATTACTGTTTCTAGGGTCGTCAAATATAGGTCTTATTTGGAAATCAAAGTTTCAAGAAATCTCAACTACAAAGGAGAAGCTATTTTGTTGCTACTGTCAAATATTACACCACTTAAATATTAATATGTTAATTGTAAATCATAATGATGATTTGTTAGGCAACTTGAGATTGCTTCAATGGTGTGGTAACCAAGTAGTGTTCGGTAACATATTGATTGCATGCTGTAGACTAAATGAGATTGTGTCTACTTTGTTTATTCTTAGAACTTGTTATTGGTTTACTTTTTTCCAATGAATGTTACAGTATTTTTGGACATGCTGTTCAAGATACTTAAAACCAGATTGATCATTAAATTAGTTGAGTAGTGATATAAGGGTTAGTGATCTAACCAGAAGTCAACCGAAGTCAAATCAATCATATTACAATAATATATTTTAATTTGAATATACAAAAATATTCATATTTAACGATGAAAAACAATCATGTTCAAATAAAGAAGTCATTCATTCTCAACTAAATGAAAAATCCATCCATAAAATCTTATACATGTCTCATACAAATAATAATTATAAGTGTTTAATAATAATAAAATATAAAAAGCATGAGAATATTGATTGACATTTAGATTTGACTTAAGTTCAATATTTAGAATAAAACAGAGAGAGAGAAAAGAGGGAAAAAGAATAAAAGTAATTGGGTTAACCCATTATGTTGTTTACTGTTGGATACTTAATACTCTATCCGTTCAAAAATATAAGACATTTTCAATCAAATCTCAACCCGCAATAAAGTAGTTACCTACTCTTAAACTAACCCTATTTTTCATATTTATTTCTATTAAATACCCTACAATAAATATAAAGTTATTCATCAATAGGGGCACTTTTAAAAAAAAGATAATGATTAAACTTCAAGAGACTAAAAATGCCTTATATTTTTTAACATCCAACTTATCAAAAAATACCTTATATTTTTTAACATAAGGAGTATTTGCTTTTTATGGGTTTACCATAGTTTGGCCTCTTGAAATTAGGGTTGGTAATTCAAGTTGGCCAGTCTTATTCAGATCGGTTTCAATTCAAGAGGGCTTATTCGAATTTGATTTGAAGTATCCTACCCTCTCATAAAAACCCATATAGCCAAGCCTGACCTTAACTTTTTTTAGTTAAATTTGGGTTGCCCCATTGGACTGTGTCAAAATTACCAACTCAATTTATATAAAGCTGAAAATTCCAAAGGTCGAGCTCAATTCAGGCCGAGTTTATTCAAAACGGACTTAGAGTATCCTATTATCTTAAAAAAAAAACCATATAGCTAAGCTCAATTCTAACTTATTTAGAGAGGGTTCGAATTGGCCTATCAAGTTTAGTCAGAATTATTGACTCTACTTAAAATGGTCTTGATCTACAATTTTAGGCAGCTTTAAGCTCTTTTCTAGTATTGGTCAAAAAAGTTCTTTTCTAGTTATTTTTTCCAAACTTGGTCCATTTTGATGGGGAAGGATATGTCACGAATGGGCCTTATGAATGGGCTGTGACTCTGTCGCAATTTCCACATATGAGCTGAAGGCTTAATTATTGGGCCAGAGGTTGAATAAAACGGGCTTTAGAAGTCAGGTGAAGGCAGAGGATAACTCAATGGTTCATTTCTTCCTGTATGACCTTCTTCTTCTTCTTCTTCTTTTTCGTTGCTGTACAGCTGTACTGCTCTGTTGATTTCTTTCCTCTTAATTTCTTCAGCTGTATTCGGATTTACGTTAGTGACCATTTTTTCTGTTAGATGTACTTGTCCTAAGAAATTGAGGCAATAATACTTGAATATCTTTATCCAGTATATTTTTGTGTTCTTAATTTATTTATCAGATTTGTCATTGTTACAGTCTTGTGAAATAATAAATTATTATAAATAATCTGACAAGTGTGTTAAATCGCCAAAACTCCATAAGAGTTAAGACAGCTCATTAAATTTTTTTTATTTACAAATTATTACTTTCGTCTTAAATTATAAAATATTTTTAATAAAATTTTATATATCAATAAATCTTATTAAATGTACTTAACAATCTTATTTTTTTAAAATAAAAATATAAATTACTAAAAATATCCTTCATTTAATTATTAAAAAGAAATAAAGACAAAATTAAAGATAGAGAGAGAAATGACACTATTAAAATAAATTTATTTAATGATATTTTAATCTTCTCAAAGTGTCATATATTTTAAAATGTTAAATTTTTTTAAAAATATTTTATAACTTAAGATGGAGGGAATACGTTGACTTGAATGTGGCACAATGTTATTTTGTGATGCAGGTTTATCTGAATTACTGTGAAATTGCAATGTTACAAAGTCCACGCCATGTCATTCACACAATTTGCAACAAAATCCAAACCTCGAGGGGATTTTGGAAAAGAAAAAAAAGAGAGTAAATAATACGTTCTCAATTAATAAAATATTAATTACATTTTTTAATATAAATTTAAAAATTATTTATTTAAATAAGAATAAAATTAATATTTTATTTTATTTTCAGATAAAATTAATAATTTAACTATTTTTTTTAATTTTCAGTTAGGTAGGTAAATTATTTTAGAGGTTTTATATAAGCCATGTTATATAACTAAACCAAACAAATAGCTTCATATTCATTATATTTTATATTATGATCAATTTATTATATTTATTAATAAATATTAGTAATAAATTTTTTATATATTAATGTAAACAAACCACACTTATAACTTTTTAAAAATTTAATTCATATTTTTTTGGTGAAAGATTTTTTTTTTCCCCGATCAATGGGTTAATTTAACGGAGTCCTAAAGAGAGTATAATGCTTTGTTTATATTTTAAAATAAAATTCCCATAAAAAAACAATTTCCCCGACAACGTTTGGCAAAGGAAGAAAATCAAGAGAGAAGCTTTTCTTTTTGTTTTTTGTTTTTTGTTTTTTTGTTTTTTAAAGGAATTAGGATAAGGATAGCCGGACAAGTCAAGGTGCGTTAATAAAATAAAATATCTGCGTTATGATAAGATCAGACCCTAAGATCATAACCGAGAGTTGTTGTTGGGCAATATAGTCTTTTCATTGCTTGGCGGTTAAACTGGCAATGGCAAAACCTGGGGCCGCGCCACTCAGTTTTGGCATCCATTGACATGCTTGTCTCTGCAATCCCCCAATCACATCTTTACACGTACCCCAGCGGCGGAGCTTGTTTCTCCACTTTTGACATTTTACATTCTTTGAATTAAATAAAAATTATTTGATCTCCAAAATTTATTAAATATATAATATTTTAATAATTTAAATAAGATATAAGATTTCGTTTATTTCAGTTTTTTAATGAGAAAATCGTTTATTTTTTTAAAAAAATCTACTTCATAAATTTTTTGATATTTGTTTAAATTTTTGAAGATAACCAAAATCTTGAAAAACAAAAATATTTGATTATTTTAATAAAATTTTTAGTTAACTTTTGAAAATAATTTAACATAAGAGATGAGAGAACATATTTTAAAAATACAAGATATATAAAGACATTATAAAAATTTAAAATAACTAAATAATAGATTATTTTTATAAAATGAAAATCAAGGACGTTATTATAATATTTAAAAAATAATTAATTTAATTATTTTTTATTATGATGACTAAATATAAAATAATATCTAATTTTTATATACTCTTTACAAAATAATTTTTTATAAAACTTTTAAATTATCTAAAAATTATTTATTTTTAGTTTTAAATAAACAAGCTCTAAGGGCTTTTTTTTTTTCCTCCTCCAAGAATATATTTACATAAAAGATTATATTAATATATTGAATATGTTTTTTTAAAAAAAATAATGGTTAATCTATTTATATTATTATAATTTTTTATTAAAATAATTAAAAATTTTATTTTTTTTAATTGTGATTATTTTTAAAAGGTTAAACATTTATTATTTAAAATCAAAAATAATTTTTAAAAAATAAATATTTTTTTATAAAATAAGTTAAAATAAATGAGACTTTAGTCTTGATATAATTATTATTTTTAAAAAATTAATAAATTTTAAATTAAAGTATCTTGTGAGAATAATCCCGGACTGAACAGTTGCTGAAATCATTGGCTATGTTGACCTTCAAGAGACTCCACCTCAGATAATTCCTAATGCTCCTTCCTTTTGAAATCAAATCTTATCGTATAAGGACAAAATCGTCAACAGGCTATTCTAATCCTGACCCGGGTTTTCCTATCGAAGAGGCAAAACCAAAACCAGTGTTGGTGGAGTCGCAGTGCGTTGATTATATAGCCCTCCTTCTAGTAGTGACGGAAAAAGATTCTCTCGTTATCGATGATCTCTTTCTTCTTCTTCTTTCTCTCTCTTGCTGACATATTGTGTTTATTCTGCGATTCTCTTCGTTATATATCTTCAGTATTGGGCAGACATTACTTTCAGAGGAATGGGGAAATCAGCGTTTCATGAATCTCTCAAAGCTCTGGAAGCTGATATTCAGTACGCCAATGATCTGTAAGTCTCTCTCTGCTCTCTGTTTCAAATTGTTAGGAGTTCTCCTTCTCAGTGATGAACGGTTACTATTTTGATTCAGAAGTCAGAAGCTGATAGTGTAGTCCAGAAGGTGTATGCAATCGTATAATTGAGTTTCTTATGTTGTTTTAAATTGTTGGAAGTACGATGCCTAACCATAAACTCTTGTAATTCCCAATTTCTTATCAGTAGAATTGTTCGCTTATTTTTTAAATATATAACTTTTGGTCTTACTCTTGTGAATTGTTCACTTATATGTAAATGTGGTTTTCTGTATACTCGCTGGCAATGTTTTGTTTTCGAAAACCAAACAAAAATAGGTTTTCGCATGAGGTAAAATTGAGGTTGAAACGGGAAATTCCTCAGGGGATGAGTTAATAATACAAATTGAGTGAAGGGAGTTCATCTCGAGGTTAATCCAAATCCAATGAGTACATTCGAGTTGATCTAATTATTATTTTTAATGTAAATGTTTCTCATTTTCTTCTTATTTGTCTAGGTTATTAGGGTATCCCAGGGATAAAGATGGAGCATGCTTTCAGATGAGACTGTCATACAGTCCAGGCGCTACCTTATTTCTTTTTCTTGTTCGATGGACTGATTACCACCTGGCTGGTGCTCTGGGTTTGTTGAGAGTTCTAATTTATATGGTAAATGTCCTTCGCTGATTACAATTATCATGTCTGTCTTTGATGATAGATTTCTGCAGTGAAATTTTGCTTAAATTCATTTATTCCCTGTCAAAAACTTCCTGTCATTGTGGATTTTGTTTGACCACATTTTCCACATAATTTAGTAAATGTGGTAACATGATGGGATTTATGCAGACGTATGGAGATGGGAAGACCACCATGTCAATATACGAAAGGAAAGCAAGCATTAAAGAGTTTAACTGTAAGTTTCTTTTGGAAAAAAGATGAATAAGCATTACAACTTTGTGCCTATTGCTCTTTTTGGGCAAAATTACTTCCATATTTTATATTTTTGCTGCTGCGCATACATAATTACATATATATACTTATATCTCTGCTTCTTTTCCCTTTGGATGTGCCTCCTTTTTCCTGATATACAGCCATTATATTTCCTGCTTTATTGCAACTTGAGAAAGGCATCACAGATTTGGAGGAAAAGAAACAGAATGAAGTATATGCGGTCAGATATAAAAAGAAAGAAAAGCAATCGATGCTTGACATGGAAAGAGAGGAGGAATGTGGCATTTGCATGGAGGTGAAGGGAAAAGTTGTGCTGCCTAATTGCTGCCATTGTATGTGTTTGAAGTGCTTCAGGGATTGGTAAAATTCGTTTTCTCTTTCTTTCCTAAATCCCTCTGCATGTTAGATTCCTTCCTTATATCTATCTGTTTCTTGTGTCATATTATGGCATAATTCTTAGTTTCACTCAGCTTTCTTAGTGTAGGCCTTTTGTTAATTGGAGTTGTTCCACCAGTAATATGCATTTTACAGTCTGTTATTCAACATTAATAACATGTCAGATCTGAAAGAGAAAACCTAAACACTCCCCTGAGATGGGAATTAAGGGATGTGATCTGTATTATGAATTTCTTATCAGCTTCTTTTTATTATGGATTAAATGGCAAATTGACCCCTAAATTATTGGTTTAGGAGTGTCTGGATTCTAAGCTCATTTTTGATACAATATTCACATTCAACTTTTAAAAACGGTGTGGTGTTACCCCCATGCTTTGATTATTAGTTTGATTATTAGTTGACTTAAAAAATGAAAGAAAAGGACATGAAAAATTACATACAATGACCAAAAATTACAGGAAACGATTGAGAATGGTCGTTTTTAGTAATTTTTTATGTTCTTTCTATAATTTTTAAATCAATTAACAGTGAAAGTTAACATTTGTTAATGGTAGAAGTGATGTTACACTGTTTTGAAATGTTAAAGGGGGACATTACACCAAAACAAGTTTAGGGTAAACTTAGGGGCCAATTTGTTATCTAATCCTTTTATTACCTTTTTTTATCATGGATCCTCTGTTTCACAACTCTAGTCCTGTTAAATAATTAAATGCTGGTGGATAACCAATGATGATGAAGCCAATGAATATTTTCCCCCTAAATATATAAGGTTGTTCACCCTTGCACATTGCTTTTTGAAACAATTTGTCCTTCAGAGAACCTTTTATTATGTACACTATACGAGTTATAGAACACTGATGATTACGTGCGTTTTGCATTGCTGCTTCAGGTGTGAGAGATCCGAATCTTGTCCCTTTTGCAGGGGAAATCTTAAAAGAGTCAACTCAGGTGACCTTTGGAATTACATAGATGATGGTGATATTGTGGATATCAGGACGATTTTCAAAGAAAACCTTAAGATACTGCTTTTGTACATAGAAAAGTTGCCTATTGTGGATCCGGATCCCATGCGTATGTCCTATGAACCTTGTGGAAGTTAGCGGCTATATTTACAGGCCTTGAGAACTGTTTACATTACTGTTTTACTGTACATGCCATTTTAGATCGTAATTGATTATAGTACATATTTTCTAACTAAATGTTCATAGTAGTTGTTTCATGTTGATCTTATGGCTCCAAGCAGTGTTTTGTCTTGTCTTCATGCTTGAAGGTGATTGAGACCGACTGAAATGCAACAACCTTCAAGAAGAAGAATAATATCAAACAAAACATAATTATCAATTATAGTTGTACTCTATTTGTATCTAATTGCTTATTGCCTAATCATTATTTTCGGAAAAAAAAAAAGCTTTTATACTTGATTAATTAAGATATAAGTTTATCACTTTTAAAATTTTAGTATTGTCAAAGTTATCTCATTCATCAACTCTTAACATTTTATTTTAAAAGCAAAACATAAAAAGATTAGGGAAAACATACTTTTTTATCCCTATAGTTTTATTGAATTTTAATTTGAATTTCTGTTGGTTTTTTTTCAATGTTTTTTGTCCTTATAGGGATTAAAAGTATTGAAAAAATTAAAACTATAAGGATTTAAAAAGATAAATATTATACAATCTTTTTGAAATTATAGAAACTAAAAACATAAAAAAATATAGAGATTAAAAATAAAATTTGATGAAGCTATAGGAACAAATAATTGTTTTCCCAAAAGATTAATATCACAATCATTAATAAAATTTAATTTCTTAAAATAATGCTTTGAAGTATTATCATATAATCTAGAAGCATTCAATATGTATTGAAAATTTTTAAAAAAAATTAACTTAAAAATAATATTTCAATACTTTGTCGATATGTATCAAAAAAATATCAGGACATATCAGTATCCGATATGATACTAATATAAATACATTATGTTGGTGTTTCGTTAAGAACACCAACCAGATGCACCACTCATCTCCACTCCTAGCAAAGTCAATGGCATCTATGCCCAGGAACAAATGGCTCGATCCAGTACTTGAGCCAACCGTTGGAAGACCAGACCCAATGGGCCACGATTGGGTTTACAAAGCCCGTAAGAAAAAAAACTCAGTGGTAGACCCACTTGTAATTGCTTGCTATGCTATAGCAAAAGCCCATTGGTAAAGATAGAAACGAAAATCGTGAGTGCCTTTTGGAAGGCTAATGGGAACAAAAAAAAATTACAATAAAATCTCTCTAAATTAATTATCAAGAAAAGAGAACTGATTATTGAAAAAAAATCCCTCCAAATTATATAAATAACAATCTAGTTTTTTAAAATGCTATAATTTCAATAAAATTCTTAAAAATGTCTATGTCAATAAATTTTAAAGTGAAAAGATTATTTTATCCTTATTAAAAATAATAAATTTCCATCACAATTTTTATTCTGTAAATCATAAAAGTTAAATAAAAAATTACAACTTATCAAATGTAATTTTTATTATTAAAAAAAAGCCCCGATCATAACTTTTACTTGAGGAATAACGATTTTTATTTTGTGAATTGTAAAAATTGAAGAAGAAATCACAACTTATTACTAAAAGTAAAATGATCTTTTTAATTTAAAATTTATTGATAAGACCCTGAAGACTTCAGTGGAATTATAATAGTTCGAGTGATCAAATTGTTATTTATATAATTGATAAATAGGTCCCCGGAGATTTTATTATCATTTATGTTGGCACTTAGCATGAATGAAAGAGTTAGAATTGGCATCGTCTCCGAAAGCGAATGCAAAGCCAAAGAGGCAGAAGGAGATGCTTCCAATAATGTTAACAGTGAATCAGTGATGATGACTAAGGGGAAAAGGGAAGGAAGATGGTGTTGAGGGAGCGAAAAAGAAAAACACCTTGCTCCCATGACGCCTCTATGAACAAGAGAGACAAAGAAACGATGGACGTAATAGGAAGTTTGAGGATAATTTGTTTGATAATAATGAGTTTGTGTTTGGGCGTGTGCTAGGTTTCAAAAGTACTCCCTCTAATTCAAAATATAAATAGTTTTTTTTTTAATTTACATATCAATAAAGTTTTTATTCCCATAAAAATATATTCTTTTCGTTCAAAAATGTAAAGTATTTTTAATCTTTTAAGGTGTAATCATTATATTTTTTTTTTAAAGTGTCTCTATTGATAATAATTTTATATTTATTATAGGATGTTTAATAGGAGTAAATATAAAAAGATAGGGTTAGTTGAAAAGCAGATAACTACTTTATTGGGTGGTAAGATTTGATTAGCCTTACACTTTTAAACGGAGGGAGCATATTATTTTTTCTTTTTATCGTCAGTCCCAATTACTAATACATTCTATGACCAGTAAGATACATTTATATAAAGATTAGGTTTAATAAAAACAAGGGGTAAAAATTAAAAAAAAATTACATGAATTAGGTTACTCCTATTTTGAACCAAGATTTGAGAGAAAATGATTATATTTTGGATCGAACGAAATAGTTAGGTGCTACAGAGAGGGGGAAAGGGCGAGGGGAAGAGAGAAGAAGAAATGGGAAGATTGAGGATGATTTCATCTGATGATGATGAGCAATTGAATTATGTTTATTTGTAGTCGAGGTAAGTTTGAAAGCTACTCACAATAAGTTGAGGTGAATGGATGTTGATAGTGTGCAGACTATTTCAATGGTTTTTATTAAAGAAAAATGATAATAATTTTTTTAAATTATATAAATAATATTTTAATCTCTCAAATTGTTATAATTTTTTTAAAATTTTTAAATATTTTTCTATTATTAAAAAATTAATATAAATGATCAAATTAGCCGTAACTCAAACATTAATTGCTATTTATAGGTTTTGTTCTAAAATTCACAAATTTTCTTTTTAAAATTACAAAAATTCAACAATAATTTACAAATTTACATTTAAAATTATGATATTTTTTAAGTGTTGTAAATATTAATGCTATTTACAAGTTTTGTTTTAATATTCACTTTTTAAAAAAAAAGTATGACAATTCAATAGTAATTTATAAGTTTAAATTAAAAATAATTTAATCATTTATATTAATTTCTTAATGAAAGAAAAGTTTTTAGGGACTTTAGAAGAGTTATAGTATTTTGAGAGATCAAAATATTATTTACATAATTTAAAAAGATTTTATTGTCATTTTTTCTTTTATTAACAGATCAAATAAGGTTTGAAAAACAATAATTTTCCTATTTTATTTTTATTTTCCTAAAAGATATTCTCTTCATTTAAAAATATAAGATATTTTTTTAGGGGTTGTATGTTGCAAAAATATAAAAAATTTTAATATTTTAAAGTGCAATTAATGTGTTTTTTCCAAAAATACCCTTAATAAATAAATTATTTTATATTCTTTAAGTGAAGAAAACTATTAATTAAGGATAAATATGAAAAAATGATGTTAATTTGAAGAAAGTTAACTAATTTATTGGGAGAGATATTAAGATAAAAATGCCTTACTAACAATAATCTTAAGAAAATTTAAGATTACAATAATTACAACAACATGTGTCTTAGTTGTTAAATTTATTTTTAATATTTTTTGGCAGACCTCCAAAATTCCTTAACTTGTTTTCTTATTCCCATCAAACATTTTAGAATTGTTTTTGTTTTCCTTATTTTGAAAGCACTCCATAGTCTATTATTATAAATTTTCTCCATCATTTTATTCATGTTTTCATGTTTCTTTCAATGATCAAAAAATTGAACCGTCGACTAGTCAAGCTAATAACTTGATAAGCTGAAAAAATTATTTGGGATGTTAGGCCAAATTAGACCGCTTTGAATCGACAATTGAACTAAGAACCGAATTTAATTTTTAAAAATCAAACTGTTTAAAGAATATCTTTTTTATTAATTTTTTAATCATTTGATGTTATGTTATATTATATGATTTGTTAAGTTATAATAAAATTAAAATATTTAATTTTATTTTTAAGTTAAGAAGAAACTTTATATTAATTTCTTATATTTAAATTATTATATATATATATATATAATTTTTTTAATTTAATTATTAAATCACTTGTTTGACCATTAGTCTTACCCAATTAGACCATGCAAACCTTAAACTACTTATCTTTTCGGTCTATAATTTCTATATCATTTTCAGGCTAATGATGTGTATAAAGATTTCTTTCAAGATGTGAATCCATATTTTTTTAATTCATTAATCTAAAAAATTTCAAATGTGCCCGGGAAACACATGGGCTTAAAATTCTACTTTTTATTTAATCAAATGTCTGATAAAGGTGAAAACTGTGTCTAAAAGTAAAATACTAAAACTCTTCAATCTATATTCCGCATTTATCCGAGGTTTATGCACGCGCTTGCTAGCTACATTAGAGAGATATTAACATACACTAAAGCAAAATATTCTCCGTCAGACCCTGAGATACAACATAAGAGTACAACACCCACCGCGCAGGGCTACAAAATGTTAGTTTTGAAGTCACTATGCTTACAATACAAGGCACTGTAGATATATACAGAAAATGCTGAACGGTTATATATCTATATCTATATATGATGTAGAGTACTACTGTATTCTTCTAAGATTAGTGCTATTCTCTCTCATGGAAACCCTACTAGTGAGAGAAGGCCTCATTGTGACTATGGCAGAATCATTAGCTCCAGCTTTAAGAGCAGCAATTCCAGCTTCCAGAAACCTCTTCACTGCATCTTCTGCATACTTGTTTGCTTCTCCCACTTTCAAATTTTTCCCAATATTTGGATAAGTATTGAGCACATAATCCCCATTGAGCTGAGATGCAAGCTGGATCAGCTCAACTTGGAACTCTGAGAGGCTTGTGTCTTCTCTGGGTCCCCATGGCCTTAGTGATACCTTCACCTCTGGAAGCCTCTCTGTGTGAAGAAACAAGACACGTTTGTTGGTCATATTCTAATAATCACAAAAAGAACAAGACAGGGAAGCTTTGGTGTTTATGTGTTTTTGGATCTTTGTATTGTAACGTTCAATTATGGCCGTTTGGCATTTTCACTATCCTTGGAAAACCCTCTTTCAGGAAGTGGACAAAGGTGGAAACTTAATCTCTTTGCCATTGCACAGAGTGAGAGAGACAAAGGAAATTTCTGTGATTATGCATTTAGGCATGCCAGCCCATCCTAGAGCTACACTTTTATTCCTTCCAGTCCAAAATATAAACATCTTTTAACAATAATCTGCATACCAATAAAATCCCTTATTCTTATAAAAATTATATCGTTTTCCCTTTTTACCCTTGGTTCTAATGTATGATGAGTACAAAGAAAGTCATAAATTTACAAACACGAGAATCTAGTTTAATAAATACAAGGAGTAAAATTGAAAAGAAAAATTTTACACATACTAATTTACTTGTATTCTGAACCAAGATTAGTAGGACGAAAATGCCTTTATTTGGGATTGGAAGGAGTATCTCAGAAGGATTCCCATGGCCTGGTTTCACGGTCCCATTACAAGGTGTATGTGATAAAGACAAACTTGAATATTTATTCATAAATAATTTGGTCTGCCTAATAATTTTCTGTGAGTTGTAACATTGTTCACCAGATCTCATAGACAGTGGAAAGAAATCCTAAACCCAAGATAAATGAGAACTAAGAATGCATTTGAGCTGAGTGATAATCAAGGTACAAGCAAACCTGGACAGTCATCGCGAGGAGTATCACGAAGATAGAAGTATTTCTCAAAGGTACCAGACCAAGCATCTCTCTTTGTTAAGAAATTGGATTTTAAATTGAATAGCTTCTTTACGGTGGCAGGAATAGAAGAATGTTCAAATTGTGAATATGGTGTTGGCCCCTCAGGTTCATGAATCACTGCAAAAACAAAGAGTCAATTTCATACTGCAAAAGATTAGAATGCAATAACATTTCCGGTTAAAAGGAAAACAGTACAAGAATACACACTAAGAAAAAGTGACAGCGTACAACAATATAAAAACCTATATGCCAAAACTTTTGTGTCAGCTAAGAGTACACCAAATCCATATTAAGTCTTATGAAAACATAAAAGATAATACTAATATATATTGTCACAAAAATCATCATAGTAATTATGTCTTCGAGTGACCATGATCGTATCTGCAGTTAGATAAAACCAAGAAATTAGTACAACTTTGTGCTGAAACATGTTTACAAAGAGCCTAGAGGTACGAGTACAATACCACCTAATAAACCAATATTTGAAGAGTAATGATACAAATGCTCAGCCGCAAGCCAAAATCTCATATTTACAACAACATACCAACGGAGCCAAAAGATTTCAACAAAGCTAAATACAGAAATGCAAAAGTCAAGATCAAGTAACAAGGAACAGTAATCAGTCTCTTTAAAACCTTAATAATTTTTCACAACTTGTAGAATTACCAAACCAGAGATTAAGAAGGCAGTGTTAGCAGACGACTCTGTTTATAACACTATGCACCAGACAGTCTTCAATTTGCGGACAGACAACAATATTCATGCTTCTTATGGACTCATACAAGAGAATATCCTGCCTTATCAACCTGAGTTCAAATGCTCTGAGAAACACTTCGAAGCTAATCCTAATTGCAAACATCTTTGAGATTGTCCTAGAACCGTGTTAATATCCTTGACATATTGGACAGTTGAAAAGATACAGTCCGACATTTCAGCGTAGGAGTACCACTAAGCAAGCAGTAAGTAAATAACACCTGAGAACGAAAAATACAGAAGCTATAACAACACTCACCAGTACCCTTCTCAATCCACGGCGACACCAGAATCGTCGGGACACGAACACCCAAGCGATCGAACCGGAAGTAATACGGATCGGGTCCAATAATCCCGTCTGGGTTGGGGACACCGGAAACAGGGGTAGGCACATGGTCATAGAACCCACCATGTTCATCATATGTGATCAACAAGGCCATCTCTTTCCACTGAGGGCTAGCCCTCAGCGTTTCATAAACCTCCTTCACGAACCTCTGTCCTAGCGCCACGTCATGCGATGGGTGATCATCGTTGGCCGGAAAAAGGTCCACGTCGAAGTAACGCTGTTCCAGCACCACGTAATTTGGAAGCCTTCCCAACTTGGCGTGCAATTTGAACTTCATGGAGTAGCTGTGGAATTTCGAGACGTGCTTGAGCTTCCTCAAGCTCTTGAAGAACAATGTCGCGGGGATGTTCTGGTAATAGATCCCAAATGTGAGACCATTTTCGTCCAGAGAATCAAAGATTGTTCGTTGAGGAAACCCATGGATCAGATCTTTACGAACGTTGCTCATTGCACCGTGGGACGTCGCAGAGTGAACGTAGAACCGGTTCGGCTGAGTAGACGCGGGCACCGACGCAAACCATTTGTCGAATACGCAGAACTCGTTCGCCAACTCAGTGTAGACAGGCAAGACCTCTGGTTTGAACCCGCTCATGACGGTTTCCGACATTCCCTTAACCATCTTATCGGCCTGCTGAGCGAACCCGTTCATCGGAGCCGGGTTCGCTGAGGTGTCGTTTGATCCGAATATCTGTTCCCTTATAGCCTGGAACGAGTGCCCCGGATCAGAGTCAACAAACACCGCGCCGTTAGAGACGAAAACCTCCGGCGAGTTTGGGTCAGAGACTAAGAGTCGGTTCGACTCCTTGCCCGTCAACCCGTCAATTTCGGGTCGGGTCGATTTCAGCCAGCCCAGGACGTGATCGAAGGAACGATTCTCCATCACCAGGACGACAACAGTTTTGATGGGTCCGTTGATTTTGTGCTTCTTGCGTATGCCATTGAAGTCAGTGGCTTGGGAGGAGACCAAAAGGTAGAGGACGAAGAAAAATGCGAAGGGCACTGGCCGGAGAGACATCTCCGGAGATTGGAATGTGGAAAATTCTCTGGCAGTTCGGTGGAAGAATTTGCGTGCGGTTGAAAGGTTGAAGAAAGTGGTAAATAAAGAGCGGCATAAGCAAGAATGATGTGCGAAGCAAAGCAGAAGCAAGAACAAAAATTAAGAATTTAGACGTTGTTAAGCGATAAGAAATACGGTATTTGCTCACCGATTAAGGATTCTTTTGGCCTTGTGTTGTGTCATCGGGCATCGGCTGGTGATTGTCTTGTCTTTAACGCTTTCGGTGCATTCGGTTTTTATTTGTTTTAAAAATAATCACATTTTCTTAAATTTATTTTAATTATTAATTTCATCTTTAAATTTAATTTTATTAATTTAATACCTTAAATTTATATCAATTATCAATTTAATTCTTAATTTTTAAATAAAAATAACAATGTCAAGATTTGTTGGCATCTAAGAAATTAATAAAATCAGCATTAATTAATGAAATTTCCCTTTGGCCAAAATATATATATATATATATATATGCTGACATGATAGTTGAATATTAATGGCACCGCACAGGTTAATAAAAAAAAAAGTATAATAGTTTAGGTAAAAAAAATATGTTCAGAAAATTTTAAAAAACAAAACGAAACAAAACATAGAGTAAGGTGCTAAATTAATGAAAATTAAATTTCTTTTATTTTTTTTAGCCAAGTCATCAAAATACTGTACATATAATATTAATTTGAGAGTAAATTTATTTTTTAAAAATTAAAAAACTAATATGATAATTTAAGAAAATGTAAAAAATCAAATTGATATAGATTAAATTGATAATTGAAGCAAAATTAAAATACTAAAAGTTTGATTATACCTTTGTTTTTTTGCAAAATCAATCCAAGTTGAAGCTGTTGTGTCAATGTCATCATCCATTTTCTCTCCAAAAATAAAAATAATGCATCCTTTGAGTCAAAATCAAAATTTAAAAAAAAATTGAAATTTTCATACTGATTGATTAGTGTATGATTAGGCTTTTTTTCTCGGTCATAAGAAATCAAATTGTTTATTTTATTAAATTTTGAAGTAGATTAATGATTCATTTTTTGTAAAATCAATTTTCTCTTAACATAATTTTTCAGCAATAAATTTCATTTGGTCTATTCGTTAAAATATATTTTTTCACCATGAACCTTCGAAAATACTTTTTAAAAATTTTAACGTTCCAAGTTCCAACCCATTTATAGTACACTAAAGGACAGTAAACGAAATTTGAGTTTCACCATGGAGGTCAGGAGACTTTGTTCAAGGCAATTAAGCAATCAGAATCTTAACGCATAGCGTGTCTTTTGATTATTATTGTACATAAGGTCTGTTCATACGCGTCTACGTCCTGATGTTGTGTCTTTACCCAAACTAAATTCATACTTGCATCATGCATAAGCACTCAAAATTATAATTTTTTTTAAATCATGTTTCTCAATTATTTTTAATACAGCTTCGGAGTTGTATGCTTCTCTTTGGTTTTGCCAAATGCGTACTGGGCCGAAGAAATATGTATACACAGCAATCAGGCCCAATGAAAAACTCTGTGTATCTGTGAGAGCGGTTACGGATTTGAAAACGAGGTGACAGTGCTACCTTCTTTTTAAGAGGAGGAATGACACGAAAACGGAACGACACTCAGACCAAACACCTCAGACAACTCAATCAAAAGTTCAACACGCAAAGCATCACCTCGTCGTGAGCTTTGGGACTTTGTTACCTTGGACGAACCTAGAATTAGACAAAGCTACATGTACTTTCTTTTTCCAACAAATCCCATTTCCTTCAATAGAATTTGATTTCATGAATGACTTGAACTAGAGCCGTAAAAACAAGTTGAACCCGCGAGCTGGCTCGTTCAACCCACCAATTTTAATGGGTTGGGTTGAAAGAATTAATTCATTTTTTAAAACGAGCTGGATTAGCCCAACCCGCAAAAATGACTAGTAAAACGAGCTGGCCTATTTTTTAAAAAAATAATTTATTTTTTAATTAAAATATATCTTCTTATAGATCTACAGTAATAATAATATTTCTCAAATCTATAGTTTATGAGTTCCAAATATGTTTTTTACATTTAAAAAATAATGTAAATCTTTCTTATAATTTGCAAATAAAATTTTTATTATAATTTGTAAATCAATTATTTATTAGTTTTTATAGAAATACTTTGAATATATATTATTTGTTAATCTCATAAAATCTATTAATTGAAATCACAAATATAAATTTGTTGAGAAAAATAATATGAGTTTATATTCAAATTTTATTTTAAAAAACAATATAAAAAAATCATTGTCTATATATATGACATATTGATTATAAATTTTAAATTATAAAATTATATTTTGCAGGCTGGCCCACGGGCTCGCTAGCCCGCTAATGTGCGGGTTGAGTTGAATTTTTCTAACCTATTTATTTTGACTGGCTAGCCCAACCCAACCCGCTAAAACGCTAACCCCTGCAGGCTAGCTCGCGGGCTGGCCCACAACTCATTTACATAGCTCTAACCTGAACCCAATTGAGTGGTTCGGACTCAAAAAAATTGAGATAAAGAACAAACATCTTCATTGACGACTTGCTCCTTTGGTAGATGTGCTTTAAGTGACTCACCCACTTTATGTGAATAGCATCTTTCAAGCATTCTTCTTGGCGAAAATGACAATCAAAGATCACTGAATACAATTAATTACTTTGTAGGACTAAATAACCTAAATGTAATTAAAATTTGTTGTGAAAAGACAAAAAATTATTGTGATAGGGGAATTTATTATTGTTAAAATGAAAATGACACTTTTTTTAAAAAAATAGAGACTTGTTCGTCAAATTATAACAATTCTTCTCTACCACGTATTGTTGAAAATAGTGGGTAAAATGTCAGTTTGAGTCGTGCCTAGAGCTATTCCACCACATGTCGTTAGTCACACGGCAGCTCCCTAAGATTAAATAGGATCGTCCTACAAAATAGGGCACAAAACAATAGAGAGCAACAGAAAAAAAAAACACTCAAACAACACAAACAGAGAAGGAGGAAAGAAGAGGCTCAAAAACTCAACAGCTAGGCACTATGAAACACTGGATGCATCAATATATATAGGCACACGTCTAGATGAACATTGGACGCCCATCAACATATCGGTTCAAGGAATAAAATGCCATAAAGCCTCAGTTACAGAACATCAAAGCAATAACATATGTTTAAGGCCTTAGTTACTAAACGTTGATAATGAAATCCATTTAAAGGAAATTAATCTCATTTAAAACCACCACTTATGAAACTCTAGAGATAGAAAATTTAAAAGGCCAAAAACCTAGGATTTCAAATAAGAAAAATGAATTAAGAAATTATTTTTACAAAAATTAATTATTGATAAAAAAGTATCCAGTGCCTCTTGAACTCGCACAAAGGGCAAATTGATTGTTTTCAACTATGATTGCCCTTTGTGTGTCTATCTCATGCGCATGAACCCACTTCTACTTCAAACCCTTTATTAGCCCACTTTCATTTTTTAATACACACCACACACACACACACACACACACACACACACACACACACACACACACACACACACACACACACACACACACACACACACACACACACACCACACACACACCCACACACACACACACACACCACACACACACACACACACACACACACACACACACACACACACACACACTAAGAGCTCTCTTCATCTAAATGATATAGGACTTTTTCTATTGACACAATCTCTCAATAATTACAACACCACTAAGTTAATATTTTGGAGTTGTTAATGAAGAAATTGATTGTTGTTAAAATGAAAATAAAGCTTGTTTTTTCTCAAATGGGGACTTGCTTACCAAATTACAACATTTGTTTCTCTCCACTACTAATTTAATTTTTTGGAATTGTTAATGAAGAAATTGAATGTTATGAAAATGGAAATAAGACTTTTTTTCTTGAATAGGGGTTTATTCACCAAATCACAGCATTTGTTCCTCTACACCACTAAGTTAATTTTTTGGAATTATTAATAATGGAATTGATTGTTAATAAAATGGAAATGTGACTTGCTTTTTTGAATGGAAATTTGTTCACCAAATCACAATACTTGTTTCTCTCCACTGCTAAATTGATTTTTTAGAGTTGTTCATAAGATAATTAATTGTTGTTAAAATGAAAATGAAACTTTTTTCTTCAAATTGAGACTTGTTGTTTGCACGCGTGCACATATAGGGGATATTTTTATCTTTTCATAATAAATTTTAATTTTAGATTTTTTGATCTAGAGTAATATTAAAATTATTTGGTTTGTAGCAATTAAATGTGTCATGTGATTTTTTTTATTATGCTCTTCCCTTCTTTTTTCCAACCATCAACATCTATCCAGGGTACCACTTTGAAGCCAAAAAAAGCAAGAGAGAGAAGCCCTACCTTCTCTCTAGTTTCCTGGAGAGAAGGTCTTCCTTCTTCTTCTTTGATTAATTGCTGGCATCTTCATGCGCTCATCCATGAATGCAAAACCATTATTGGATCCTAAATTCACTTTTACAGCAACATCAGCCCATGATCAAATCATGAATCCCCCTGCCTCCAAAGAAGAAATTGATTTACTACTCAGAAAGAAATCAAAGCTTGATGAAGAAATGTATGATAAAAATCAGATATGCAGCAAGAGAAATCAGATGCGTCTGTGACCCAACATGAGTAACCAATGGAATTTCAAAATAATGAAGGCCCTGTCACTAATGCAAATCACAGTAATGCTGCGTCTACTCAAGGAATCAAAGCTCCTATATCTTATAAAGATTCACTAATAGGATATAATGGATGCCATGGTATCATCAATGAGAGAGAAATAAACTACAATAATGAGGCTCTTGTAATGGAATTAGATCAAAATTGGTCACCATCAGAAAGGACAAAAAGTCTCATGGACTACTATCTAGCTCTTGATATATCTAACGCAGAATGGAAGAAAATATGTTTACCTTAGATGAATGCTATAGTTATCAACACCTTAGGTTTGCATCTCAACCCAAAATCACTGAAGCCCAGGTTAGGTAGAATGTGGCAACTTAAAGATTTTGAATTAATAGATCTTGTTAACAGTTACTATATCATTCAAACCAAGGACTACTCTACTTATAAGAAAATATTAATTAGTGGTCCTTGGACTATTTTTTATCACTGTATCCTTGTTCAATACTGGGCTCCTA